TCCTCCTCACTGCAAAATACCCTTTAGTCTGATTGTTAGGTCCAAATCTAAATTTTTTTTAGGTAATGCATTACTGCTGCTTCAGGGAGACAAGCCACCAATGGTAGCTTTTGCTCCTGTTTGATTATTCAGTGATACTTTAAAATAATGGCTTAATCTGAGTTCATATCTTTGGTGTTTATTGTAATCGCATGAAGCATGTGGAAGTTATTTAGTATTAGTGTAATTGTCAGAAGTCCTTTGATAGAATTTCTACTGTAATTCAGTATTAATTACTCTGTGCATTAGAGAAAATGAGCTTATTTTTTATGCTGCCTGAATCTGAAAGAAATCTTCTTGATTCTGTCAGAGATGGCAACTTGCTTTCCTTAATCATTTGAATGTGAACATCTGTAAAAGCTGATGTTCTTTGAGTTTCGGAGAGAAAAGGTAGCTCAAAGAGTACAGACCCAGGAGTTTATAGTTGGACCATATTTTCACATACAGCACTTGTTGGTAAGCTGCTTACCATCTCCTCCACAACTCATTATATCAGTGTGTCTGTCCCCTCAGTCTAACTCCTGTTGTAGTAATGAAGCTAGGGCTGGATGTATTTTTCTGAAGACTAAAAGTTCCGGGTATTACAGTTTTAAGTTGTTCCTGAGCAATTTACAAACCAGGCTGAGTAGTTTCAGTTGAACAACATAGAGAAAACGTGGTTCAGAAAACCAGCCAAGGCAGATGCCATATTTTATGAGAGGCGAGTAGTCACCTCAGTTATTGAAGCTGTGGTAGGCCCAAGTTCAGTTCCTTTTTCTGTGTGAGGGGACTTCAACCTCTCTCTCATCTAGTAGGACGCAATCCTAACCATCAGCAAAGGGGCATGCTGGGCTGGTGCTGTCAGCGTCGTCTGCTGATATTGTTCCAGTTTGTGTGAATAAACAGGGGGGGCCTGAAGGCTGGGTGACTCCACCACCAATTTAGATGGTCACCCTCTTCTTGTCTTCCTCTCTGATTTAATGAGTATTGCATGTCCAGTAAGATTAGCTTTTAACGACAGGGATTGAAAGACCCTTCTTCACTCATTGCTGATATCTGAGATTGTATTGCCCAGTTGAATATCCTGCCAACTTCTGTCTTCTGCAGTCAAGCTCCATCCAGGATTGACAATTCATTGTTATTGACTGTTCCCTGAGATAAGGAGCAAAAGAGAGAGAGGTTTTCTTGCCTGGTATTTCAGAATGTGAGAAGGTGGGACCACACTTGAGTTATGGTGTAGTGTATAGAACAAGAGGCACAGCACCTCTAGGTGCATGATATGGAAAGAACACCAACTACAGTTATGAAGCTGCTCCTATATCATACAGTATCAATGCCACTGACCCTTCCTTGGCATTTGGAAACTAAGAAAAGTAGGGAATTAAGTGTTTTGCTCTACTTTCCCCAGCTAGTGCATAGAGGGCTGTAAAGTACTCAGTGACATGCACTGCCTTTCAAAAAGTATTACTTTGTCTGAGCAAATAGCACTTGTTTCCTGCTACCTTAAAAGAAAAAAAAAAAAAAAAAAGGTTGTTTTTTTGCTTCTTCAACTGTATCTCCTTTCAGTGAAGTTAATGAGGGGAAAAGAGGTGAAGGAACTCTAGCACTTTCACAGGTATCAAAATAGTTGAAGAGATTAGCAAAACTTCCGTTATGTTTCAGCTATCCATATTTTTATGTGTTTTTTTTAGTCGAGAGTGTTCTAGCTATAGCAGTTTAAATTGGGTACAGGCTGTACTAACAGTTGAGGAGAAGCTGAAAAGAAGTTTAAGTAGCATTCTCAGCATTAAACACCATACATCTTGGAAAATGTATCTGGATGATCTACTCAAAATAGTGGACTCTCCTAAGGGTACCATACTGGAAACACAGTGCTAGAAGCATCTGTCAAGACTTAAGAAAAGGTAAAAGGAAGTTGCCATCACTAAAGGGCAGAGAAATGGGAGATTAATGGAAACCGAGAAACATTTTACCCCATTTAAAATGTTGTAGATTCACCACATATTCCTATGGGCTCTGAACAACTGTTTTTATTATCAAGCTTTTAGTTGACAGTGTTGTTTAATAGGCATCTGCGCTCCAGCTGCAGGCCATGTGGCATGATCTGAGAGATCACCAGCAACACATGTACTATAGTTTAAAAAGATGCTCATATACTTAAAAAAGAGCCTATCCTAGTTACAGCTGAAATAAACAGTTACTGTTTTAAATAATTTCTCTTTAGTCTACACTTTTTGTAGCACAGAGCATCTTTAAAAAGAAAACACATTCAACTCAAAATTGCTGTTTTCTTTCTATATCCAGTTCTCTTTGGAAAGAGCTCCAAGAGGCTGAAGAGAGGATATGGTTGAATGTCACCTTCACTGACATTTGCAAACTGTTAATATGTGAAGGATGTCATGATGTTAAAGAGAAAACTGAAAAGACTTAACAAAAGTCTTCTCAGCTATGAATAGGGCTTTCATGGCTGCAATCATTTGGTATGTTTTATATTTGGGTTACAAAGCATGTAAGACAAGCATGAACAGACAGGGAAAGCATAATGTTATTAGCTTTGTGTTTGCTGCAGTGCTATTTAAGGCAGTGATCTACAGAGACCTGTGCTTGGACAATAGTTCGGTAAACGACCTGGATGTGCAGGAGATACTGCACTGCTCTGTTCCTGTTTGGTTGCTGTCCCAAAGACACAGCAGAATGTCTTAGGGAACCCATGTAATCAAAAGTAAATCTGAAGATTATAGCTGGGTTTTGTTGCAGTTCTTTTTCCCATTAAAATCTGAGAAAATGTGTGATTTGGTTATGTTTCCTCTCACAGGCTTGCTCTGGCATGCAGTCCAGTGAAATTAAATGCTAAAGATATCAGACTTAATTCTGTGTTGGTTTTTTTTTTTTTTCCTAGATTATTTCATTGGTTCTCTGTTTTTCTCATCCTCCAGACTTTCAGCTGTAAGAACTGTGAAGTATTCAGAAAATTTAGAAATACTAGGCAGCAATTTAATTTTGACAGTACAAGTAGTTTACAGCCATGCTGTTCTGCCTGTCCTTTTATATTATTTCTGCTTGTGTGTGACTTTAGCAGCCACAATCTTCAAAGAGTCAAATTAAGATGAACAGCTCATCTTCTGAAAGCTAAGATTCAAGCTGTCACATAACAGAAAGGATTGATGTTTAACTCTGCTGGTTTTGGAAAGAGTAGCTATTAAAAGCACATTCTAATTTGAGTTGGCAGAATAAGGATCACACACAGTCCCAAAATACCAGTGAACACTGATTTTAATGTTTCATTGCTTTGGTGTATAGGATAGCTCTGTGTTCAGTTGAAAAACAGAGAGTCAGCTTTCCCTTGGCACTATATATAGTACTCCCAGTGCAACAGCGTAAGAGCAGTAATGGGTGGAGGTTAAAAAAAACCTGTAATTAATACTGAATTCAGTCATAAGAGGAGGCTACCTCTTCATGGGGATTAGAGCCTACCTCTGCAATGTCTAACTGGACTTTCTGAGCGCATCAAATTATTCTGAAGGTCGTGTGCTAAGAACACTGTGTCATTAGGAAACAGGCTGGTGGAGAAAGATGTAGCTTGTAGTCACTGTGGGAAGAGTGTATTTCCTTGCTTTTGGGTCTTTGCAGCTGATGGTGGGAGCAACCAGAATCCTTGAACTGTAAAAAGCCGTTGAAAAGGTGTATAGAAAGGAGAACAAGGCTCATTTGTCTTTAATCTTTGGGACCAGAGACAAGAGAAAAGCAAAGGCTCTTTGAGGTTGGAAGCCCCCATCCATAAGAAAGAGGAGGCAGTGTGGGGTCTCAGCAGGCTGCAGGCTATGCATATGCGGTGAGCTGAAGTGAGTTTTGCGGTCAGTCATGTCTTGGGAGGAGTGAGCATCTCTGCTGAGAGTCTGAGTGGAAGATTTGCTGTCTTTGGGTCCATAAAGGGCAGTCAGGTGGGAACGGAGGAGGGCAAAGGGAAGAAAAAAGATGGGAATAACCACCCCACCCATGCCACGAGCTCTTGAGTGGGTGCTTGTGGAGGGACCTGCAGTGAGAACGGGGGAGAATCCCTTGTGCTGAAGATGTTTGAAATGAGATTAGACAGAGCACTGGGGATCTACTGCGTTGTTGGAGATTGGCATCTGTAATTTTATTGGTTTAATGATCAGACTTTATGATTGCTCATGTTACTCCATACCTTTTCTGATCACTCTGAAATTTATTGTGGGTATGAATTTTTTTTTGCCTGAGGCTCTGAGCATACTTCCAGTGAGATCGGAGCTGGTTTTGCCATTGACTTTATTGGGATTATATTTGGATCTGAAGTCAGGTAACGATCCTTAGGCTAAGTAAACAGTGGCTTGTGTAGTTAGGGAAGCTGGGATAAAACAAGAAAGGGGGTCAATTTATAGTACTTTGAGTGCTTGTTTCTGGCTCCCTGTGTGAACAAGTAGAATAGTCTACCTTGCGTCTAATGCATGGTAAAAGAGCCTGTGTGGAGAATGAGCACGTGGAAATTAGTATGCTGTTAATAGAGATGCAGTCTGTGTTTTAGTAAGATTGGGTACACAAGCCCCAAAGGGGCAGATAATCCAGAAATGTGTGATATGAATAAGAACACAGGGCATTAAGGAGGGCACCAATATTTGAAAGCATAAAAGCACTCTGAGAAATGAGTGCTGTAAAACTCCTCTGTCACAGCAGACTTGTTCTGACCCCAGCTGTTAAGCATATTCCAACAGTTGCAGCAAATTGCTAATTCATTCTTGGCTAACACTGACATCAAATTATCTAAATTTTTGTAAGGTTATCCTTTGCCATAGGGACAAATACATAAGTCTTTATATGCCAGTGTCCAGTTGGAGAGAGTCCAGCGCAGAGCCACAAAGATGATGAAGGGAATGGAGCATCTCCCTTATGAGGAAAGGCTGAGGGAGCTGGGTCTCTTTAGCCTGGAAAAGAGGAGACTGAGGGGTGACCTAATCAATGTTTATAAATATGTAAAGGGTGAGTGTCAGGAGGATGGAGCCAGGCTCTTCTCTGTGACATCTAGTGATAGGACAAGGGGCAGTGGGTGCAAGCTGGAACATAGGAGGTTCCACTTGAATATGAGGAAAAACTTCTTCACGGTGAGGGTGGCAGAGCACTGGAACAGGCTGCCCAGAGAGGTTGTGGAGTCTCCTTCTCTGGAGACATTCAAAGCCCGCCTGGATGCGTTCCTGTGTGATCTGATCTAGGTGTCCTGCTCCGGCAGGGGGATTGGACTAGATGATCTTTCGAGGTCCCTTCCAATCTCTAACATTCTGTGATTCTGTGATTCCGTGCCTTCTGCTCTATTCCCTTGAGCTCTGTTTGTCTTAATTTTAAAATAATAACACTATTTCATTGGCATCCGAGCTGTTCCCCTCATTACTCATTTTTTTTTTTTTTTTCACTAGTAGGTCGATTTACAATTAATCCAGAATGCTGAACTTGTGACTTTGCAGATGCAAACACAGTAATTCACTGGGAAATCATCACAGGCACAAGCTAGTGACTCTCCGGGGAGATAAAAAAGAAACCAAGATGCAAGAAAATGCTGCCATTATTATCTGCAAGTGGGTTAGCTCAATGTCACTGCAGAAAATTCTTTGTGGTTACTGGAAGTCATCTCTTAGTAGCGGAGAGCTGTGCTGTCCCCTGCATAGGTGGTCAAGAATATCAATAAGAACATTAAATACAGATTAAAAACAAACCCCAAAACCACTTCATGCTCTTAAGTCTTTGATTGTACTGTCATGACAGTGTACTGTGGCAGTTTTCTCTTGGATGCATCTTTCTCTCTGGAAAAGTAGAGCAGAGCATTTGGGGGAACTCCACAGCTGATATCAGGGAAAATATTTGTCTGATGTCTGTGCAGCTGTGCCTACATGTGCCTGTTGGAAATTGTGCTTTTTACGTTGATCTGTCATATGGACCTGACAGCAAAAATGTGTTGTTGATGATTTTATTTGCTTGCTCTCCATTAATAAGTGTAGTGGAAGTAAAGTGCCTAGGCTGAATGCACCGTGATCTGCTTTCACCAGCGTTCACAGTTGTCAGCATCTCTCCAGGCTGCTGCCAAGCTGCTGGGACACATCACTGCAAATTACCGAGCCGCTCTCATAGTCTTCAGGTGCTGCTCAGGGCTCGGGAGATTCCAGGTCCGGTTTTATCTAAATGCTGGCAACCTGCCATGTGTTTGTGTGAGCTTGACTGCAGACGGTCAGAGGACAACTCTGAAAGGCATTTGTAGGGGCGCTTTGTGCTGAAGTAGATTTTTAGCTATGATACTAACTTTAGGCTTCTTAATTATAAGGTTGATAAAGGATCCTGGGAAAGAAGAAAAGCAACCAGATGTGCAGAGGCATCCAATTATACAGGACGTGAGAAAGATAAGGAGAAACTAAGAGAAATTAATTAGCACAACTAAGTTATTTTAGAGGTTGCATTGACATAGCTTCGAAGGTTACATTCCCAGGATTGAAAGTAGCCAATAGTGATTTTGTAATTAAGAATTTTGAATTATTGTATCCAATCAGTAGCTGCCAAATCTGAAAGACCTCTGTATAAAAGCATGTGCGCAACACACAATAAATGGCTTACACTTTCATCATAATTGTCTCGTCTGGGTGGTGTCCAAGAACTTCACGCGCTGACTACGAAGAGCCCCTTGCACTGATTACAAAGAACTCCGCCAGTCGACTACAGGAGTTCTTCTGTTTCTTGCTAGAGCTGAGCTGGGGAGATAACGTGGCCCGAGATGTGCTATTGCATGAGGGGCAGGATCATTTGATGGGTTTTGTCTGAAGCCCTGTGAGGGGGGAGGAGCTGCAGAGCTTCTGAGCTGTGCCACTGAGAGTACTGAGTGTTGAAAGCATGTCAGGTAGAGGCAAGCACTAGCGAGGAACCAGAAGCTCTTCATTTGAAGAAGGGTGGGCAAGTATCAGCACGAGGGAATGCTTTTCTGCCCAGCTGGATGCGAGGACTGCACCAGGCTGGCCGCATCCATGCCAGGACAAGCAGGAGGGAACCATATTGTCATGCTCACACATGTGCTACAGAGCTGGTCAACTGCAGGGGAAAAGCCCTCCTGGTCACTCTGACAGGCATGAGTAGTCTCCTCGCTGTCTGCTGGGATGGATGAGGTATAGTACCCCCAAAGCCACTGCTGGAATGGGGTTGCCTGCAGGACTCCTTGTCTGCATTGGGAGCTAAAGGAAAATGCACTTTGAGCTTCCAGTACCATTTCTAGAAACTTGCTTATGCACAGCATTTTTCTCCAGATTTCTCAGCCTCTAACCAGCCTGTGAAATGCCAGTCAGAAAGCTGTACAGGGCTCCTATTTTTACAAATGGGGAACAGAAAATTTCATTTGCTTCAAATATCTCCCATCATGAGGAGCACAAGATGGGCAGCAGCGTTTTGGCTGTGTTAGGCACTCAGACCAGCCATAATCAGCATGTTTTGTTTCTACATGGGCCACCTGTATAATGTCCATCTGTTGAACGGGGCGTGACGCCTACCGACACTGCCATCCAGGTCATTTGAATGAGGCACAGGTTTCCAGAAGGTGGTGATGTTCCCAAAGGACAGTTTGCAGCAGCATGACAAATGCTGTCCCTTCTGCACGAAGTCCCTCCCATGGACCGCTCTCATGGCAGTGCTGTTCACTTCTCCTTACTTTAAGGCATTTGGGGAGATTAGTCTAAAAGAAATGTAAACACGTTGTGGCAATTATGGCAGATGAATATTCAGAGGCAGTCCCTGTCCCTCTGTGACTGTATCAGAGCAATTTTGATGTATTCATCTTAGAGCTGCACAGTGCTTTTCTGTGAATGGTAAATTTGCTGAAAAATGCGGTTTTCAAATAACCACACCTATTTGCCATCTGAAGTGAAATGTGTTAACCAAGTGTAAGTGGGAAAGGATATGGTGAAACTGGATTCCAGGAGTGACAGAGGATGTGTTTCTGCCTTCCCCTCAGCTGTGTGCTCAAGTTCCTCTACTGCAAAAGGAAGTTTGAACCTGCATCTCCCACCTCCCATTGGATGTCCCAAGTTATGGGGAGGGGGATAGTCTAAAAGTCTGCTGCTGGTCTTATTCTACCTTTTATAAGCAATTAGGGTTATTAAAACAGGGTTTGGATACTGAGGCTCTGAGCACCTAGGTGAGTATTGAAAGTATTAAGCTAGGTAAGCTAAGGATTTTTTTTTTTTTTTTTTACACTTAGTACTGTGTCCTGGTGGAAATGGAACAAGTCTGATAGGATGGATCCAGCTCCTGTACCTGATAATCTGACAGGTTGTCTTGCTGCTCCTTAGGAAGAGAGGATGGTAGTGCCTGTTTTGGGGAACACTTGATTAAAGGTCTGATAGTAATAGAGTGAGAGGGCCCACGTGAGACGGTACAGCCAGACCATGAATTTCTGTCAGGGCACCTTGGTCTTGGCTGGCCTTCTTTATTTATCTGCATCTTGGCTATTTCTACAGAAAAGAATGCCAAATGCAATAAGTTGTGAATTTATTTTTATTGCTTTGTTGTGTGTGATCAGGTTGAATTGATTTCTTGCTTGGAAGACAATGGCTTTGGCTACATTAGCAAACAGCGCCATGCAGTAGGAGCAGATCTGTAGAGCAAAACAGTAATGAAGGCCCAGGCACATTTCAGAAGGTTTACTTCAAAACAGCTTTATTTTAATCCCACTTGAAGGAAATTTTGAAAGAAACTTGTAGCAAATTAGGAGATGAAATATTGCATGTTGAAAATGTCAACAAAACCTTTCAACTGAATAGGAATATCTCAAGTTTTCTGCCAAAACAAAGACTTCAAAAAATCTGGCACATGTTCATGAGACATTTCAGTGCTGTTGAAGCTGTATTTTTTGTTGACAATTGTTTCAGATGAAATTTTATCTGGTGCTTCTTGAGGTCACTTGGCATCCTACTTAAGCCTGTGTGTCTTGCTGTGTGTGTGATTCTTGCAGTTGTTTCAAAGAGGTCTATACACAAAACTCTTCACAACCCTTTAAAAAGGTATTCTTGTACCTATCTCTGCCTGCACCCCAGAAAGGAAAAAAAATCCAGTGCTGCTGTTTCTAGTTTTTTGTTCTGACTCCTCTGCTGCATGACGATGAAATCATTTGTGACACATTTGCTTTAGCTGCAGGAAACCGAGAGAGAGGAGATAGCAACAGGGCAAGATGGACACTTGGGAGCTGAGAAGAAATTAGGGATCACATGCAGGAGAGCAACCCAGCTGCAATGAAAGGAGTTCACGTGAGGCTTGTGCAAAAAGTGGCTTTTAATGGAGTAAACTTTGCATACATGCTGAAGTCTGTAGATACTGTCACATGGTAAGGGCAGGGAGGGCTTATTGATGCTCTGAAGATTATGCGGACTCTGGAAAGAAAGCTGGTTGTCAAGAGTAAATCATAGAGACTTTCTCATGCAAAGGTATCCTCCAATGCAGTCAACACCCCAGGAGAGCAAGTGTTCCTGTTACTTAACAAGTTTGTGGTTTAGGTATTGGATTTTACCCATGGCCTTGGCTGATCTCCATATCAGTTGCATCCAATGATACATATTTGGGATACCTGAATATTTTACTGAAATGTGATTTGTTTAGTGTCAGATGTCAAGACAGGCCAAACATCAGTGCAGGTTTTGGTGTGTGTGAATGGCCTAGGATTTTCTGCCAGATGTCTCATTCATATTGGTATATCCAGAAGCATATGGCAAGGAAAGGTTATACTCTTGACAAGATACTGGTTTTGGAGGAGAATATAAGTCTAATGTCAGGGATAAAATAAACGTCAGCAAATAGCTATTGGTAATTTAACAAATTGTAACCTGCTGTAGTTTTTGTATGAAGAGATGAGAAGACTATCATATTGGAGAGGTCATCTGTACATATACATTGCCCTCCTCATAGTTGCCAACTAGTCTCTCCTTTAACTTGCATGCTACAAATACCAGCTGCTTTTAAACCTACTCAGTGTGTAAATCATGCCATCGTAAACACCAACTCTGAATATTGTTTGGTGCCTGTTGCTAAATGTTTGTGGTGCCTCTTGCCCTAAAGAACTCATTGATTCTGTTTTATTGTTTGTAATAAAGTATGTTCTTTGAGATCTCTTTCAGTTCCAGAATGAGAATTAACTATCTATGGTAGAGCAACCTAAATCACTATACAGGCATAATAAAAACAATTCCTACAAGTCTTACAAGTTTTACAAGTCAAAAGTTTCTGTTTAAGTATTTCTTTGTATTGCTTGTTCAATCATGCAACTTGGATACTTTTGAAGTATGCCTTTAAGAAACAAGAACAACACAGACTTTAAAATTTCTTTTAAAGCTTCCTGTGCCTGAGAAAAATAAGTTGTGTTTTGGACAAAAAGAAAAATGTCACTAAAAATAATTGATTTGCGGGAAAAACTGTCGGTGTTCACTCAGGTTTTTTGAAAAGATTAAGTCAGAAACATTTTGCTTTCTGGAGTTAACAGGATACCAGTTAGTTTTCAACTGTCTGTTCAGGTTTGTTTTGAGAAGAGAGGCAGTGTCAGATAGTCAGAAGTTTGTCTGGACTTTCTCTGGGCTTGAGAAAGGTGTGCAGGTAATTGTAAATATGTGTATGAAGAGCAGCTTTTAGCTGGGTGTTGAAATGACTGGAAAAAACTATGTGTGACCAGCTTGTTTTTCTCTGTTGTATTACAGGTTCCAGAATCTGCTGTGGTCTCGAAAAGCATTTGTGGACAGCGTGAAGGTGTATAACCACAGCTACATCTACATGCCAGCCTTCTCAATGAAGACGGGGACGGGACCCTCACTGCGCGTCTATTACACCCTGGAGGACTTCGGTGCCAAGCAGGCGGTCCTTTTCGCCAACCCCAATTTCCTGCGTGACATTGGCAAGTTCTGGAAGAGCAAAGGTATCCATGCCAAACGGCTTTCCACAGGACTTTTCCTAGTCAGTGCCGCCCTTGGTCTGTGTGAAGAAGTAACAATTTATGGCTTCTGGCCATTCTCGGTGGACCTGCAGGGGAAGTTTATTAGCCATCATTACTATGACAATGTCTTGCCTGATTCTGGATTCCATGCCATGCCAGAGGAATTTCTACAGCTCTGGTTTCTTCATAAAAGTGGTGTACTAAGAATGCAGCTAGAATCGTGTGAGGACCCTTTAATCCAGTCTTCTGCCTGAGGATCACAGGAGTCGGTTTGGGAGATCCAATAGTTTTTAATTTACATGCTCTCCAGCAGAGACTTCTGTTGATTCTTTTTAAAGGGAAAATAATTGTGGATCTGCATGGACCATAAAATGCTACTTGAAGGCCAAATGGAATACGTCCTTAATGTATAGTGCTTTATGGAACTGGGGTTGGGGGGGAGTGAATCTCTCCATTGAGTCCATTCAGCAGCATTGTGAAAATTACGTCAGAAGCAGCACAGCTGAACTTTCCGGGGGACGTTTTTAAATGACTGATGTAAAAAGGGCATTAAGGCTCAGAAAGACACAGGGCCACCTACAGGCTTTTGCTGACAGTGCCGAATATGACTCTGTTCAAAAATCCATTTCATTCCAGATTGGCAACTCATTCAACTTTCCTTTTTCTTTTTTTTTTTTCCTTTCCTCTGTGTGGGGGTGTATGTGTAGGAGAGCATGTGTGTGTCGTTGACTTTGTTTCTTTCCTTTTTCCTTGTCTTTCCTATTTTCATTTTTATCCCCCTCCCAATGGAAGGAAAAGGAAAGGCTTAAAAACCCCAGGAGCTGAGTACCATCAACTCCTCCAAAGACTCTAGGGAAGGGTGCTAAGAATCTGGTTAGAAGAATGTCCTAGGAATGCACTGATATTGAGTATGGGTGGACCTACCCGTTGTATGTTTTATCATGATGGTTTAGGTTATCACTTTTACAGGTCTGCTAATGCTGTGCTGTAGGCAGGAGGTGGTTAAAGGAAATTGGTCTGAAAAGAAAATGTATGTTACAGAACCAGTAGTGAAGTGCAGCCTGGTTTCAGTTGACCTGCTGCAAGATTTCCACAGTGACTTTTGTAGCAGGGATTGTTCCTGACTGGTTTTGCTGTCCAGCCTTGGGGTAATTCTGTATTCATTTGTACTCCAGATGTTCACTGGGGATTTGAGGTGTTCAGTGGAATGCAGAATGAGGTTCTTCGTTTGCTTATAGCAGAAAAACTGCAGAAATGAATGTGTCATTTGAAATGAGTTGAAGCTTTGAAAATCCTTTCTCTTTGTGTAACTAGCTCTTCTGCTTTGATTGTAACGTTAGCCTTAAAGACTTGTACTTTTCTTACAAGGTTGTCTCTGGTTAAAGATGGTCTGAAAAATAAAACAGCCTTTGGGAGCACTGAAAAACTGCGTAGCCAGCAAGAAAAAAAGTAAGTAAGAAAAGAAAAGAAAACCGCAGGCCCTTACATAAACGGGTGAATTATGTCACTGTGCGCATGGCACACGTGCTGCTCCGGCCAGCGCAGCGCCTGAAGGACTGTTTTATTTTGGGTTATTACTTGGGCAGCAGATGGTCCTATCACCATGTAAATGAGAAATCTCTTTGTTTGTTTGCTTTGGTTTGGTTTAGCACTGTAGGACAAGAAGAAAATACCAGCTCAGTCCATAGTGCAAGTTCAGCTGCAAGATGTTACCACCCATTAACTTTAAAATCCAGACCAGTGTTATCTTTCTTTTCCTTCCATTATTAGTAGCTGAAATTCTAGTCAAAGTGTTGAAACAACAAAACTGATATCAGGTTTTAACAACAATTTCTTGTGCTATCTCTTTTAGCTCCAAAGTGCTAGTATTTTGAGGGATGTGTCCTATTATATGTTGACGTCTCTTTGTAGACTACCAGCTGCAACTTATATAGATGTAATTTTTTTTAAAAAAGGGAAAATCCATGGCTCTTCTTTAAATATGAATAATTCAACTATTAGGACACTGGGAAAAGTGTTTTGCTTTTTGAAATCTATGTTTCATAATAGACTCTTCTTTCTAAGTTTTGGATTAAATATAATTCTAGAGATTGTTCTGATAAAATATGAATGTGCTTCTATAACCCATTTTATCTTTGTCCATGTTTTTGTTAAAAGTATAGTGATGAAACTGATGGAACATCACTTGATAATTTGTTCCCTTTTGTTATGTTTGTTTTATCTGTGATGTTGATACTCAGTGAGGAAGGGTTTGAAAGTAAAATATTTTCTTTACTGCTTGTTATGGCAGAATTTTACTGAACTGCCTTTCTTGGAGAAGAAAAGGTGCCTCTATGGTTTTTATTGTACGTGTCAGGTTTTGCGCTTTCAGTGCTTTTAAAGATGACATTATCTGTGAGAAAAACACTTGAAATATGGTGTGCTAAAATGGTACTTCAGCAGATCCTTTGGAGTGCAAGAGACTGAGGAGAGTAGGGGGTACTGCCTCTTTGCTCATAATTTTTTTTTACCAATGCTTGGGAATTTAGTTCTGGACCTCTCTGATGGCTCTCCAACTCTTTGGTAATCCTCTTTTCTATGTCTTGGGAAAATAATCGGATTAGGAGAACAAGAGAAAAACACGTATTTTTGTAGGAAAACTCAGTGCAGTATTTCATAATGTCTGTCTTGTTTGTGCTCTGCTGGTGCCCTGCGTATCTGGAGATGTTCTGTTCCCCACCTCTGTACGAATGAGGCAGACTGAACCTGTGTCTGGTGGTCTTTGTGAGTCTCTTCTGATGTCTGCAGTCCTGACATTTGTAAGGAGATAACTTCCAAAAAATTATGCGGGTAGGAGAGGCCCAGGCTGTGTGTGATGTGTGACTGGTGTTGGAAAAATTGATAATTCTGGCTCTATTCAAGTTTATGTGTGGTGAATATAACTGCATCTTACAGAAACAACCACATCTGATGGGGAGGAAAAGGCTTCAAGAATAAATAGTTTTCTATAACTTCCAGAAAACTGGCAGCTGAGGAAAGAAGAGAAATGAAAATAAATGCCCCTTTTGAGAAAACAGAATCTGTTTTAGCTTGCTGACTTGTCAGTCCGTGCAAACATGCTGGCCTGCGATCAGCCTTTTGCCCAGCAAGTGAAAAGGGATGCAGGAGGGTGTTGCAAGTGTTTTGTGGCAAGAGCAGTCACAAAAAAAACCCCAAAAAACAAAACACCCCCCAAAAAACCCCACAAAAACCAACCAACCAACCAAACAAACAAAAAAAATAAAAAAAAAAGGAAAAGCAGCTGGAAACATGAGAGTAGCAGCTGCCTGCCAGAAATCTTGGAGTAACTAAGCTCCGTCCATGCTGCTGCTCAACATGAGGCTTACCTTGTCTAAATCTAGGGGTGGCGACATCCATGTATAGGGTCATTGATGTGACGTATGGGATTGCATGCAAGGGACTGAAGTTGTATCCTTCTTCAAGAAGGAGGTCACACCATGGAGTAGGACCATGCTTCTGCTTAAAGACAGGCACTGTCAGATTGAGGAGGCTAACTGTAAGTGTTAACCATGAGAAATCAGCATCACGCAGTCATGGTAAACTTTGGTCAGAATGATTACGTCCATCCAACATACCTGTTGTTTGATTCCAGTCCACTGATGGCAGTGCCCTTAATCCAATCTCATTGCTTGTGTTGCTATATTTTTCTTGAAGTTAATTGAAATCTTAATGTTTATTTTTTAGTGAAATTTCCTACTCTGGCTTCTCTATTTCCACTGCCAGTCCCTAAATATCTCTGATGGTGTATCTAAAGCTGCACAAGTCTTTGCCAAGTTGAAAGCTACTGCAATTCATCTTCAATAAAAACTAGTTCAGCCTGGCCAAATGATTTGTTAGTGTTCCTAGTTACTAATTTTATCATAGAGGTGACAAGGTATAGAAGCACTTGGAATCATTACTCTGCATAGGAAGCATTGCCCCGTGTTTGTAAGTAGAATAAATTAAATTCCTTTACAAGAGATGTGCATTGAAGATATTTGGTGCTGACATTGTTCTAGATAGAACCTTTTGGGAGTGTATGTGCTTTTGAGTAAATCAAGACCAAGTTTTGAACTTGCACCAAAACTATGTAAAACTTCTCCTTCCTATTGCCTTCGGAGCCTCTTCTAAACCAGATAAGCAAAAGAGAAGCCAGCAAACTAAAATCATAGAGAAAGGATGCATGTGTTCATGAGAATAAAAACATTTTATAATTTTGGTACAGACCTTGCTATAATACTAAGGACTCTTATTCATGAACGTTGTATTTTTATGTTTTTGCGGAAGTGAAGGTATCAAGTGTGGGGTGAGCCAGCTACAAAAGTCGAAGGTCCAAGCCTCTGTTACAGCTTAACTTTTGCAGAATATAGAAATACTGGCCATTTTGTTGACTCGACTACATTCACCTTTTTGTTAGCTTCATCAAAATGGTGTCATAACATACCCTGCTGAGTTTGCACCTCTGTGGGAGCTGAAACTAAGCAAAGCATCTGCTTTTTTAAACTGAATGTCTGATCTGTGGGAGTTACGTAAAACCCTTCCTCCATACATCATGGAAACTGGTTTAATATCTGGCTCGTCCTTGCCTGTCATTCTCAATAAGGAGAACAGGAGTGAGGAAACTTCTGAGCTGGAAGTGAGGATAATGAAGGAGGTGATGCTGTGTCACCATTTGCTGCCTGCTTTTGTTCTTTTCTTCAGCTCAGTAGATTAGTAAGTATTGGAAGAAGTCCAGGTTATGTGAAGAACAGGCAGTTCTTGAAGAGTTGGATGATGCTGGAAAAAAGGAAGATCAAATCAGTGGTGTAACAAATTGAAGTGTAGCAATTCTTGATAAAAATCCCCAGTTCTAAGCAGCTGTAGGACATGTCTCCTTCTCTGGAGACATTCAAAGGCCGCCTGGATGCGTTCCTGTGTGATCTGATCTAGGTGTTCCTGCTCCGGCAGGGGGATTGGACTAGATGATCTTTCGAGGTCCCTTCCAATCTCTAACATTCTGTGATTCTGTGATTCTGTGTGATTTTCATCTGGTAGTGACTGTGAAAAATGGACTATCCATGACCTAATGAGGGTTTTCTGCAAAGCAAAATGCTATGTGGAGGGGGAACTCTGATCAGACAGGAAGGGAAATACAATGGAACAAAGAATGATAATGAAAAATCTGTCTTTCCCTTCTTTCCTGCCACTCCTCCCAAAACACATATATAAAGATGGACTAACCAGCCATTATCCTGAGTCGCCATCTCCTTCATGAAATTATATGGTGGGCTTTCCATTAGCTAATACTTCCCAGTAAATAAAATTCATCAGACCTTGT